TAGAGAGTTATCTTTTTGCCGACTTACAGAAACAATAATAAACCGAAAGAAAGTACAGGCTCAAATATATATCATGGGAAGACAGAACGTGAAACCGCTCATGCTCCAACAGCATGCTTGGCCTATTGCAGTTTGTAAAGGCTGCTAAAAGTCTTTTCCTTTCACAAAGATGGGGGCAGGGGACCCTCCAAAGAGGCATCATTTTGATTTATCTCAAAAGCTGTTGCATACTTGTTTAGATGAAGTAAACCTACTTGCCCTTCTTCAAATCCTGACACAGGAAACAGCATCAGCAGGGCACTTATGATGCAGTGTTCTGGTGTAAACAGGCTACAAAATTAGGCAAGATTGTCAGATTATATTTTCAAGGTTCTTTTGCATGGAGGGATTTTTAAAAGTATTTAAAATAGAAGCTATGATTATTTTTTTTCAACCTTCTGTCCCCAGCGCTTCAGACCTGCACTTGACCCAAGGTGACTGCCAAGATGGGAGCCATAAGGCTCACCCGCCCCCCAACTGCAAAACCCGTTGGAAGAAAACAAAACACTAGTCACCCAGTGAAAGAAAGGGGAACCTGCACTTTCCTGAACAGTGCCTCGGGTGCTGCGGTTTCAGTATGCAAAGTCAACGCAGCTTCACGGCCTCACAGCGTTTCTTGTCCTTCCCTTGGACATGGCTGCAGGGCGGCTCTAAACGAGATCGAAGAACCGCTGCAGTGTGCAAAAGAAAACAACGATTTACAGTTGTTTGTTTGGGTTTTTTTAAGGGTTCCTTTTAGGTATTAAGGGCTCTCCTCCCGGCCCCCTCTCACAGCCCCTCAGCGGAGGGCAAGCAGCTGGTGAAGGCCCGGCCCCGGCAGCACCTCCCCTCAGCGGGGCTGCAGCCCCCATGGGGCCTGGCTCCCGGCTAGGCTGCGAGCAGGGCCCTGCCGTCAGCCCCACAGGCCTCCCTTGATTGGCGTGAAGCAGCGGATACAGGACTAGCCCCGTGGGAGACATTTATTTTTTTTTCTACTACCACAGCCGGAGCGGGGGAAATACTAATGAATAATAGAGGGACGCGTCTCCTTTAAACATTTCCTCCCCGCCCCCTCCCACGTGGGCGGGGCAAGGGCGGGGATTCCGCGATGCGTCACTTCTATTTCTCTCGTGGTGTAGAAGAACCGTGTGTGGAGTGAGACGTGAGTATGGGTATTTAATTTTGTGTTCAGTGGGGGCCGTTGCCGTTTTTTTGTATCCTCTACCCCTAGCTGTCGAGGGCTTGGCATCTCCCGGCCTGATGCAGGAGAGGCGCGCTGGGTAACCGTGTGGTGAGGCTTCTTTTCCTGAAGTTCATGCTGTGCCTTGTGGGAGGAATGCTCTGCCATGGAGCGGGCCTAGGTCGGGAAGAACAGCCGCTGCCGTGTTTGGGAGGAAGGGGGCAAAGATGATTTGAGTGAGGGGGAAAAAACATCGGTAGGGAACTGCACGGCTCCGTTCCCCCCAGGGCGGGGTCTGGCCC